CCACTCGCCACCCCAGGGATCCACCACGCCATCGCCTCCAGGCTCAACCACACCGTCGTACCCGACGCCGCCGTCCAGCTCCAGCACCCCGTCATCCCACTCGCCGCCGCAGAGCACGCCGGGAACTCCGTCGTACCCGTCTCCTTCGTCAGGAACCCCGACGCCAGTAGGAGGCCACGCGCCGCCTCCGCCGACCTCAGCCCACATGCCAGACGGGCGGTTCGCGCCTCCCCCGGGCTCGTACGGCCCCAACCCATCGACGCCCCCGTCGTCGTCCACACCGCCCTCCGGCTCGACGCCACCTTCCTCCGGCAGCCAACAGCCGCCGTCCGGCCAGCACACGCCGTCGCCGCCAACAGAGTACCCCGGCTACGCGCTGCCTCCCCACTCGTCGGGGACCCCAGGCACCACGCCTCCATCGCAGACACACCCAGGCACCCCGTCCTCGCCGTCGGGGTCAACAACGCCGTCGTCCCCCGAGCACTGCGCGCCGCCGTCCCAGGGCGGCAGCACCGGACACCCGTCGCCGACGCCGGCCGGCGCGAATCCGCCGTTCCCGCCGGTGTACGGCATGGCATACGGGTCGCCGCCGCCGCCAATGAAGCCGTACAACTAATTCCTCCTGATCCATCGCCGGAGCAGCCGCCCACCGCCGCCAGTATAATACCTCATCTCGCGCTCTGCCATTACCCGTAGTATTTTTTTTTTCACCTTGGATTTTTTTTTTCATCTCTTCTTCTTTCTTCTTAATTTGTTGCCAGTATTTGATCCACGATCTACAGAGATTGGATGGAGTTAAAAAGAGGCCCTCCTATGTATTCTTTCTGCCCTGGATGCCCGGATTTATTAAATTAATTTGGATGTGTAATCTTTGAGCCTACACAAGATAATGAGTTGCACCTTCTACTGCAGTAAAACATCTCGATGTCCCTGATGCATACACGAACATGATCAAATGTGCAATTGGTTGAGTTTCTCAACAAAGAAAAGTAAATCTACTCCTCCCAGCTCTGAACACGGGTTACATACTGGTAGTGGTAGGGGAGGCGCAAAACGCAGCTGCCAAAAAGGCTTGGGCATCAATTGCTCTTTCTTCTTCCTCTTTCAGATCAACATTTTCCCGGCGCGAAAGAGGAATGAGATCAAGATGAAAATGCGGCGTTTTGGGGGAGCAGGCGCAGGTGCGGGGCGCACACGGGTTGGTCCCTCCCTCCCCCAGAACTGCTGCACATGAAAAGGCCATGCCATTTTCCCGGCTCACGCCAGCTGCGCGCATCCACCACCTTGTTGTTGTGCTTGTCGTGGGGGAGGGGGAAGAGGACGAGGGCGACGTACATGCATGCATGGGCATTTCGATCATGGGGGGCCCCTGCACCTGCCCGGCCATCACGCATGGGTGCACGGCAATGGCCATTGGCCATTGGCAACGCGCCAAGGGCAAAGCAGCCAGGGCAGGGGCAAGTCGTGTCGCTGTCGGTGCCGATCCATCCATGGAGACAGACAAGGGGACTGAGCGAGCGAGCGCTCACTGTGAATGGCGAGGAAGTGGCCGGTGGGTACTGGCCTGCTGGCTGCTGGGCATCATCGTGGGGCGGCCGCAGATCCAAGATAAAATAACACTGTTCCTGAAATTTTAGTAGTAGTACGGACCTCTTGTAAACAGGCAGTAATCATGTGTTTTCAGATAAGATTCGGAAAGAAAATGTGTAGTACTCAGATGGGTGTAAAGAAACAAATGTCGACCGGAGCAGATTACACATTTGGTCATGTACGTGCCATTTGCTAAAAATGCTACTCGTAGTAAAGAAGGCAGGCAGTGACCACTGACCAGCATGTTGAGCCAGTATTGGTTTGGGGCCTTGGGTCAACCGGGTCTGCCTCAACAACTACAGTTGACCTGCCCTTGCTCTCATGATCTGATCTGGTGATCCCCTATCGACGACCACTGAAGTTCCGAACAAGTGTACGGGGCACCCGCACATTGATCTTTTGAAGCAAATGGTGGCAAGAAAACGAGTGTGCGGCATCGACATGTGTGCTCGGTAAACCAAACACGTGGTACTCCTACGGACAGTCAAACAAGAAACGAAGAAACGAAGAGGAGACCTAAGATTTATCTTTTCTTTTCTGCTGAGGGAAATATAGTGCAGTGGTACTCCTACGGACAGGCAGTGTGAAATGGTTCTAAAAAGGAGACGGTGTGAAATGTCATGACGCAATAATAGAGGAGCGGTGATGGTGGTGGCGCAGGAGTGTGCAGATGCTGTCCGGCCCTGGATGCGCTGGTGCTTGTTATTGTGTGTGCAGCAGGTGAAGGGGTTCTGCGTGTGTGTGAAGAACCATTTGAACCCCGGAGAAATTAGGGAAGCGGAGCACTCGGTGGGAGCAGAGCAGAGGGACGGTGTGTCCCAGGTCGCGTGCAATTCAAAAAATCCGGTGATGTCACCGGAACGTCAAGCTGACCCCGTGCGTGCAGCCCGGCGGCCCAGCCCACGCAAGCAGGCCTGGCGGGCCCACCTGTCAGTGATCATGAACGAGCGTCTCCTTATCGCAAGCCTCTCAATTCTTATTGCTTCTAAAAAAAACCTAAAAAAATCAGTTAATTAGTTTAGTAACTGTCCAAAAATCAGTTAAAAATAATTACTCAGGACAAAGCTTCGTTAATTACACCAAACTGAAGCCAGTAACAAACCTCTATCTACCGAAGAGCATGGCCGTGCCGCTCCACGTACCTGGAGAAGCCATGGCCATGGTACTAGTACAAGAAATTGACTTCCGTGATCAGCTACGGCCGGTTGGCCCCGCAGAGGACGTTGGCGGCCTGGCGGGCAAAGTAGGTGAGAATGATGTCGGCGCCCGCGCGCCGGAGGCACAGCAGCGACTCCATCATCACCTTCTCCTCGTCCACCATCTTCAGCACGCCGCCGGCCTTGATCATCGAGTACTCGCCCGACACCTGAACACAGCAAGCCTGATGCGGTTACAAACAACGCGTCGAAATAAGTGGCATTGATCTGTTTGACAGATTACTAGTACATCTCATATGATCACATCAAGCAGGCGATACGCATTGGAGGACGTGCAAAACAGATTCAAGGGGATTCTCCGGAGCATCCATATTGGAGATCAGTTTCAGGGTGGTGTTATAGACAGGGACAGGGTTCAAGGGAAGGCCAGAAGCTATTTCTGAGAAAACCATCTCGAAAATGCCTGCTTTGCTTATTGCTAAAGATCATTTGGCCTACACATCAACCTAAATCTGCTTCTGGGTAAAGAGAGAATAACAAGACGAATCTAGGTGGCACTATGCAGTACATGTCACCCTGAAAATGGCTTCATCGACAACATTGTACTTGACGCTAGCAAAATAGTTTCTGCTTTCAGGTGAAATATCGAAGATACAGTTGCAGGTAAAAAAGCTTGTAGAAGAATTAAGTTAAGTCAATCCAAAAAGGAAAGGAGGTTCATGGCCAAGGGAAAAGATGTTAGAATCAGAGTTATTTTGGAATGCATCAGTTGTGCTCAAAAAGGTGCCAATGAGGAATTGACGCAGATTTCTAGATGTAGTACTCAAAATAATCGCCACAATACACCCGGTCTAGTACGAACAGAGTTAAGGGAACATGCAAGCAATAATCCTTTTGAAATCATTTGAGAGCTGGCAAATTGACCTGGTATGCAGCAATCGGCAAGGCTGAATTATCCCGTAGGAGTCGGATAATATCCAGGTATGGTAATCCGGGTTTCACCTGACAATTGATAACATAGCTTTTAGTACATGACACAGGCAATGAAGCAAAGAAAGACCTTGATAATCTGGCGCTCTGTGTACACAGTAACAGAATTACCAGAAGAATATCTGCCCCTTCTGCCTCATCTGCTGCAGTTTCTATAAGGGCTTCTCTGTAATTTGCTGGGTTCATCTGATAACTTAAGAATCGAGAGAGGCGCACAAGTGCACTTAGATACGAAGATTTTAAATTGTACACTGGATGAAACGACAAGTTTTGCTGCTAGATACATACGTCTTCTTGTCTCCAAATCGTGGATTTGAATCCAAAGCTTCACGGAATGGACCATAAAACGAACTAGCATACCTGCAATAACATATCACATACATCATACATGCCATCCCACTTGCATTTCACAATGCAGGAGAGAAGGCAATTATCAAATAATAAGATGACAATAGGTTCTATTTCAGGATAGATGTGTACTTTGCAGTGTAGGACATGATGGAGACATCATTGAAACCCTCTGCATCTAGTGCAGCCCGAATTGCTCCAACACGACCATCCATCATGTCACTAGGACTGACAACATCAGCACCAGCTCGAGCCTATTTAGCAACAGCAACATTTCCTATAAAATATGTATTTAAAGATATACTAAGCCATGACTACAAGGTGGATCCAAGAAAAGGAACCTGGGAAACTGCCTGCTTGCACAGCTGATGCACTGTTTCATCGTTCATGATGACTCCTACAATGGAATAAAACATAAAAGGCCCAAAATTAGGTGGAACCATGGCTATTAATAAACACAATTTCTGCAAATGCACATTTGCTGGTACGAAATACTAAAATGGAATGCACATTTAAGTGACTCAGCATGCAAACATATTCCTTGTGGAATTTAACGTCCTCATCTCATACACAAACAGGGGAAACCTAACAGCTTCTTTCTCTTTAAATCTACAATGTCAGAAGCAACAGATTGATGTTCTGTTCCTTTCATTTGTATACAAACAGCATCATGGCCAGTTGAATTTTGATGGAACTCATATATACGCCACAGAACTCCATCAAAGCTGCTTGATTTAGAACATATAAATCAATATCAGTCCCACAAACTACGATTAAATCGTAAAACGGCAGTCTCCAATAACATCGTCCGACACAATCCAAAAGTAGAAATCAGTTGTGACCCACATAATGAACAGGGACTCTGTGATAGCACAATTCAAGCATGATCGAAGGGACTCATATGCCTGCAAAGCCTATACAACACTGTTTTTCTAAATCAGGTATATTTGTTAGTCTGGAAAGAACTTGATAATGAAGTTTGGTTTAATCTGTAACACTACAGCAATAGCAGTATTAAGCCATAACCGTTACCTTAATATACTAGATTTTTGGCACATGCCAAATTAAATTCTCAGGATATCACATCGAAGCAATGGATGGAAGTAAACTACAAACATTATCTCTCTGGAAGCAAATGTGTAAGGAATAAATTCTAACCATCTTCCCTCACAATGCCATCATGACCATCAGAAGAATAAGGATCCAAAGCAACATCAGTGTAGATAACCTAAAGCAAACATGTTAGCATTTAGCATAAGTGATGTAATGCAGCAATGATTATCAAACGAAACACATGACTCACAATGTCAGGGTACTTATCCTTGAGCAGACGGATTGTTCGGGGCACTAAACCATTATCATTGTATGCCTCATCTCCCGTTTGCGTCTGATTGACAAAGAAGGCCTATGTTATTCCATATGGCCAATGCAACTCAATTGGGCGGGAAAAAAAGCTTATGATTCTGGCAACACCTTTAATCCATCAGGAACCTTTGGAAATAGCACAAAGCTGTTAACACCAACATCGCGTGACTTGTAAACCTGTTAAAAATAGCAGCTCAACAAAACTGTTCTCTTCAGTCACAAATTTGCCTGAAGATAGATGTGGCTAACTAAGACTAGAACAAGAGGATATGACAATAGTTGCTAATTTTCCAGCGCATTATTAACTATCGTCGTAAACTCGTAATATGGATATACATGCGCTGTTTCTAGTATGGTGATATTGAAGTTATATGGACAGCAATGTCCTTACTACAGAAAATCACCTAATGTATGATAATTCAGGCATAGCTCCAATGGCACCGAATCATGTAAACTGCGGTAAGCTCGGTACCTCTTCCAGAAGCCCATGCCTCCATCCAAGCCTGAAGCACCCAGGCATAGCTCCAATGGGAGTGTCTTCTTCACCTGCACATCAGTACCAAAATGCCAATCAACCAAACTGTACCCACCAATCTCAGTTACGTGCTTGCACCAACCATGTTTCAGTATCCCAATCACCAACCTTCGTGGATGAACAGAGGGAGGACGAGGTTCGCGGGGGTAATGCTAGTCTCCTGGAACGCTGCCCGGAGCGCCGGCGACCTCCGGTTCCGGCGAGGGCGCTTCGCCATGTCCTGCACACACACATCAAACAAACACCCACATGGCCACAATTCAGCACAGCAATTGGAACTTGGGCAAATGCCGGGATGAGAAGGGGTGTCACGTACGAGGGGCCTGATCTCCGGGGTGCCGCTGGGCGGCTGCGGCCTGGTCGGCGGCGGCGCGGCGGGGAATTTCCCGGCGACGGCGTCCGCCTCGCACTCCTCGATGGTCCGCCCCGACCGGGCCTGGACGGCCGCCGCGGCGCCGTCCCGCTCGGCGCTGCCCCTCGCGGCCACGGGCCTGGCTCTCGGGACGGGCCGCAGCGAGGATGTCCTCCGAGAGTGCTGCACATTGGCGCCGACGGCGACGGCGGGGGTGAAGGCCACGGTGGAGGCCATGGCGGTTGAGCCGTAGGGAGTTGGCGAGAAGCGGAGAATCGAAGAGTGGATGTGGATGGATGATGGCGCTCACCAGAGAGGGTAGAGACTTCTTGTGCTGCTTTTTTTTCTCCGGAAACGTTAACGCTCACACGTGTGGGCGTTCATCATCTCGACCACACGCATCGATCACCGTCCAGTACTTTATGCACGAATCTTAGCATAATCTGATCGATTTTCTGTGTCACGTAGGGCAAGACGCGTGTGTGGTCTGTAACACAGTTCGTCCGCACGTTGGTTGCCCTCCCGCGGTCAGCGGTTGCCACTCGGGGGCGTGCGGTGGAACTGCTATGCGCCCGCACGCCATGCGCCGACCGTGGTTGACGTCAAACACGTCGCGCACTTCGCCCCCCTCCCCCCCACAGTTCCATTTACTCATGCCCGCAGTTACTCACACAACCCACTTCGCATTTCAAACCATTGGGGGAGAAGACGAGGGGAGAAGGCGACGGCGGAGGCGGAAGAGTCGACGGTGTTCGCGCCCGTCGGTGGTGCTCGTCGGACCGGAGCGGCTTCGCCGGAGCGCCTGCAGATTGAAGGTAATGCTCGCTCCTACTCTCACAATCCTTGCCTGCATTTTCCCCTTCCCTCCCTGTTCAATGCTTCGCTCGAGATTCGTAGAGATTCAGGCGATTTGACGATGCGTCGGTGTTCCCGCCGGCGGCGGAGTCCTGTGCTTGCCGTTTTCGGTGGCACTGGGCAGTTTCGTCGCCGCCGCGGCGGCTGTCTTGCCGGTGTGGTTTTGCCTGTCCGGAGACACACACTGGTTGTGTCTTAGGATTGGGTCGTTGTTTTTCGGTCTGTTAGTTGCGCATTGCTTCGAATTGGTATTTGTGGTCAGTTCGGGGAGAATTTTGAGGTTGAATTTCAAGTCATATAGTTGCCATTGAACCCTAGATCTAGTTTAGTTGTTTTTGAAACTGCAGTATGAAGGCAAACGTGGTAGCTTGAGTAACTATGACTGTATAGCAACTAACTTCCTGAATGACTGTGATAGTTGCCACAAACATGCTTTTCCATGCAGCAACTAATTTATTGAATGACTGTGATAGTTGCCACAAACATGTTTTCCCATGCGGCAACTAATTTATTGAATGACTGTGATAGTTGACACGAACATGCTTTTCCATGTGGCAACTCATTTCCTGAATTACTGTGATAGTATCCACAAACATGCTTCTCATTGTGGCAACTATTTTTTCTGAATGATTGTGATAGTTGCCATACTGTATGAATGGTAAAGTGTAGTTAATCGGTAGTCACTGCAGTTTCAGCAACCAATTGCACTGGATGGCAACTAATCTGCACATCAGCTGTGTTTGTTGCCACATGGATAGTATATTCTTGTGGTAAATAGAATGTGAACACACCGTGTCTGTTGCCATATTGTAGACAGGATAATGTGGTAAATTGGCTGCATAACATGGCAACTAATTTGCAAATCAATTGTGTCAGATGCCATACATATGCTTTCCATGTGGCAAGTATTTTGTCTGACCACAGCATGTCTGTTGCCATGTTATAATCAGTATAATGTGGCAAATTCATTGTACGGCAGACGCAATTTTCGTGTTTTGCCATGATGACTTGCGATATCTGAACACATTGTGGCAATTTTCTGGTTCTTCATTAGATGTTTTTCATCGCTTTTCTGTATTATGTGTTGCATTTTAACATGGCAATTTCAACCTAGCACATTTTTGCCGCTGAACACATGGCAATTTCATTGGTGTATTTAGGACAGGGTGTGAGCTGCCACATCTTAGGTTTTGTGCAGTGGAGGATTTTGTGACTTTCAATAAATACTATCTTGTGCTAACATGGCAACTTTAACATTTTGTTTTCAAGTGCATTTATGATCAGTACACTTTTTTAAAATGTAACCAATGTGCTTAATTACCACATTTATGTTTTCGACAATCATAGGGGGGGGGGGTGCGTGTTCATGTGATATTTTGCATTCACTAGTTGACATTTTCTGTTATGTGGCAACTGCTTACTTCCTGCATTCCGTTTTCATTTTCCACCGTGACAATTTGATCTGTTCCTACCTCAGCAGAATGGCTCGCGTTCATCATCAAAATGATGATGATGATTTCATGGATCCACCACAACAGAATCGGGCAGCTGGACGAAGAAAGAGGGCGATGAGGTAACTGTCCACACACCCCTTCTCCTCGTGCATATGTTATTGGTTGCCACCTCGAGCTTTGCAGTTGTCTGTCATGAAGTAAAATTTCATGACAGTGCAAAACATGGCAACAACTGATCACTTTTTGTCTGTTTTTTGCAGAAGAAGAAACGTATTCGCAACAGAGCCTCCCAAGAACGACTGACTACATTGACTGACAGATTTACCAACGATCAGAAGGGAGCTACCGCTGGGATGGGTATGCAGGCTCTGATGAATGTCCGGTGCACGAATCTTGTCAACCCTGTATGCGACTGGCTTGGTGAGATTTACGACCCCGCCTCCAGTGAATTTGTGATTTCGGACGTGGAAGACTACCATTGAATGAGGAATCCGTGTTCTGCACTTTGGGTGTGCCTCGTGAACAGATCAAAGTCCCGTACGAGGTCAATAATGAGATCGAGGAAGCGCTATTCCCCCGTTTGTTTCTTGGGTTGGAATCCATGCCGGACACGTCTGTACTGGCAGATTCGCTGCAGGCCATGACAACCCATGGAGATGTTTTTAAGATGAAGCTTCTCATGTACCTCATCTCAGCTGTTTTCGCACTGACCACTTCTCTTCGCCCAAGCAACAAATGCTTCCCCATCCTGGTGAATGATCCATCTTTACTACTTTATTTTCCTTCAATCTTTTGGCTCTGATGTCATGTGTAAAGCTAGTCACTGCCAGTGTTTTTTGATGTTTTTTTCCATTCGATTTCTGATGCGGCAACTCATTGTTCTGAAATTTTGTGCGGTGCAGGCAAAACTGAAAGATGTGAAGAACATGAATTGGTGTAAGTTTACAGCCGACTTCCTGCACGATGCATTCTCAAGCAAGATGTACCAAAAGGGTTGTTGACTGCATTTAATGATATTTTTTTACCAGTCTTTTCTATGAACACTCTTTTTTAACACCCTTTTATTCTTGCATGGCAACCTAATCATAACAAGATGGCAACTGCCATAATGACAATATGGCAACTGGCATAATGACAATATGGCAACTGCCATCACTTTATGATGGCAACTGTCATCATACTATGATGGCAACTGCCATCATGACAATATGGCAACAGCTATCACACTACGATGACAACTAGCGCATACAGATGGCAACTTTTTCTTTTTCTCTTTTTCATGCACTTCAACTTGATTATCATGGGAACATAGATTATCCTATTTTTTCCGCAAAGTACCATGACGGCAACTGATATTTCTTTCTTTTTAAAATTGTTGTACATCAGCTCATGTACGTCGACTGTCTTGATCTGTCCACCATGGATTTCACTAGGACAGGAGGCCCATCGCCTACGCACAAGTTTGCTGTTTCTGCATGGACTATCAACGCTGTCAAGGTTGTGCTTGCTGTAGATAGGGTAACTGATACCAAATATGGAAAACTGCAAGTTAGTTCTGGTTTCTTTCTCTACACGGCATGCTTACAAATTTGGCATGCGGCAACCGTCTGTGGTTCACAAGAGATGACTACCTTTGTTAGCCATGGTTGTCTACGCATGGTATCCATGTCTCACTCCACATGGCAACTCTGTCGTTCGTGCTGAAACTTACATTCGCGTCTTCTTTTTTTTGTTCCATTTTTGCAACACATGAACTGCTAGTCAGTGTTCATCATTCTCTCTCTTACATCCTAGCTATTTTTTTGTTTTTTCCAGCTGATGGCCAAGCATGCTATAGACTACAGCGTGTTTGGGGAGCCTCAAAACTTTGGAAAGTGGATGGACGTGCACTCAGCTCCGTCTTGCCCTACTAAGGTAATCAAAAGATCTACATCTATGGTTGCCTTGGATTATTTTTGATGTCGCGCAAGTGACTGTAATATGGGTTGTTATTGCTCCTTCTTGTTTCGTGCATAGGCGAGGGCACCTGTTGAGCATCTAATTTGGCAGTTTGCATCCGGAATGACCGGCTTGCTCGGGAAGTTGGTTGAGGGGTGGACATCTCTTAGTGGCTCTGACAGCGATGCAATTGCGAGTTAGTTCACTTCATTTGTCCCAGAACAGACACATCGGCCAACTGGTTGCCGTGGCCGGTATGACTACAACAATTCCCAAGAGCTTTCTGACACACAAGATGAACTAGAGGGAGACGATGGTTTCAGCAAGGATGACGATGATGACATGGAGAACGTGCAATAGGACACCGATGATGATGAACATGCTGAAGTTCGTGCAGGTGGTAACAAGGGGAAGGATGCACCAGATGTGCCCCCACCAGAGAAAGTCAAAGAACATACGGCTGCGAGAGGCGAGGGGGTGTTGCTATCAAAGAGGGGGAGGGCTCTAGAGGATGTTGGGCAGGGTTCTCCTGGCAAGAGGTCTAGGACCGATCCCGTAGCTGCCAGGAGGAGGTTCGACTTTAATTTTAGTTTTTTGCTTTATCTATATTTTTGGAAC